ACTACCACCACCACCACTATTACTACTACCGCCACCGCCACCACCACCACCACCACCACTACTGCCATTGCTACTGCTACTGCTACTATTATTGTTGCTATGACTATTACCATGACAATTTTTATTACTTTTACTTTTACTATTACTATTACTACTACTACTACTGCTGCTGCTGCTACTACTACTACTACTACTACTACTATTAGCATCACTACTACTACTACTACTACTGCTACTACTACCACTACTACTGCCACTGCTGCTACTACTACTACTACTATTACTACTACTACTACTGCTACTACTACTACTGCTACTACTACTACTACTACTGCCACTACCACTACCACTACCACAATCACTACAACTACCACTACCACTACCACTACTAGGACGACGACTACAACAACTACTACTACCTACTACCTACTACCTACTAACTACTAACTACTAACTACTAACTACTAACTACTGACTACTGACTACTGACTACTGACTACTGACTACTGACTACTAACTACTACTACTACCACTACTATTACTACTACTACTCCTACTCCTACTGCTACTGCTGCTGCTGCTACTACTACTACTACTGCTGCTGCTGCTGCTACTGCTACTGCTACTGTTACTCCTACTCCTACTCCTGCTACTACTACTACTACTACTATTGCTACTATTACTACTACTACTACTACTACTACTACTACTACTACTACTACTCGTGAACTATAGGATCTAGAGGATTATATTTAAGGATACCGCCAAATTAATAAAAAGTTGTGAGGGCACCCCCTCATTGATACGAATTTAAGATCCCCCAATAGACTGCAGAATCTGAGAGCTTGAACTCCAGCTGACCCTCAGACTTATTAGACAATTTTCTCATAGAATGAAATATCAACCTACTTGAAAAATCACATTTTAACCATGAGGTCCAAACAAGTCAGCTTGTTCTCACAAAATGGGTGCCGGCGTTTCATTCTATAGAGAGGGCACGCCATGTCACCAGAGGTCTTAACATGTGATAAATCACCCCTCTATAAAATGATTTTTACACATGGGCCAAGATCTGTATCCAAACGTGTCCATATATAATCAAAACCAACCTCTTGGGCCACTCACGTCCAATATTTTTCAGAAATCAATTTCAACCATGCATTGTCCAAACATGTCTCTTTAAAATCAAAACCAACGTCTTGGGCAACTTTTGTCCAACAGTTTTCTGAAATCAATTTCAACCCTGCATTGTCCAAACATGTCTCTGCAAAATCAAAACCAACGTCTTGGGCCACTTTTGTTGTAACATTTTTCTAAAATCAATTTCAACCTTCATATTTTCCCACACTTTTGTATAAAATCAATACCAACCTTGGCTATGCATCATTGATTTTCCAATTTTTTGCTATCAATTTTTCATTCCAGCACTGCAGGAGGTTGATGCGTGATTCTACAATGGGGCAAATTGCCCTCTGAGCCTGGCTTTTCGTTTTATCACTATAAAATCACGTCCCAATGTACACCGGCAATTCCACAGGGGATAATTTAGGATTAGAGAAGCAAAGACAGCAGAATGGATTAATTTGCACAAAGACCCATTTGCTAGATGTTCCAGAATGGACAGGAGAGAGGGATCGGAACATGTTGATGTTGCCCAAACTTGACAATACACACCCAAAACGACTCAAGCATGAAGAGCAACAGCATTTCAACATTCCAATTCTCCAAACCCATGAAGGGTCAATATGGCCATGACCAAGATGAACAGTGACGTGTTGCTAGCTTGGACTTGTTCCTCCCCAAGCGGCGCTTTCGTTTGGAGGCTTTGCAGGGGCCTCCCGAGCATGCGGCGTCGCTGATGCCTCTTGGGATGAGCATCAACAAGGCACGCATGAAGCGACGATTTGCGATCGTCGCTTCATCGGTGGCGAAAGTTACTGTAAATTAAATCGCAAAGGTTTGTGGGATTCCATGGATTTATGTTGATTTGTTTATGTATCATGTACAAATATGCTGAACCGTATCATTGGGAGGGACATGGGTATGCTCACTGAATCATAATGTTTGCTCACAAAGAATCAAATGTCCTCTGGGAGAACCGTTAATTCCAGGGCGATATGTATACAAGGGTATGCAAAACAAGTAACTGCGCAAAACCTGTTTTTAAATATACACATCAATGATCATAAATGTGTACACATAGATCCATTTGAACTTGCCAAGCGGCATTGCAGACCAAGTACGAACGATGCATGTATTGGCTGGTTGGTTTCGTTTTTGGGCTGATGTGGATATTATGCATTTCCATCTCCAGAAAGTGCTCGGACGCGAGTTAATTGCACATGTGGTTTCGATGACTCTTGAGTGCAGTTTGTCTCCGGAGATCTAGCAATGAATCTTGTTTTGGGTGTAGCCCTGACCACCAGTCTTGCAAACCAACGATTGATGCAGGTTGGTCGCAAGAGTGGGATCCTTCTTGGCAGCAAAGGCATCCGATCCCATGCTTTTGGAGTTGCGTAGATGAAGAGTCAGCTGCGGAGGAAACAGCAGCAGCAGCAGCAGCAGCTTGAGATCGTCTTCAGACATGATTCCTTTTTGATTTCAGGTGGCAGGGCTGTGGTTCATTTGGTGGCTGCTGGAAGCTAAGCTTTCCAAACATTTTTTTTGCTACACATGTGTAGTGCAAGTGCGAGTTGCTCATGGTCTACCGTCTCCTTTTGACCAATCTAGAACTTCCCTTCCGACCAGTGCGTGTCTCGGCTACTCTCAAGGTCCTTGCCAAGGATCGCCTCAGAACGGACCGGGCCAGGCCTGGGCTGTGGGGGCCTCAAAACTCGGTCAACTAAACCATCCGTAAAATCGGAGTGTAAGTTTCCCGTAGCAAGTCACTCTGACTATGACAGAAGAAAATGCCATAAACGGCCTGCATCATATTATATGTACAATAGACGATGATGTGAAAACAAATCCGCCACATCATTGACGCGAAAAGGCTTGAGCGCCTCGGTGAGCGCAGCAGCGGCGTGGAAGCCTGGCTGTGTGGCACGAGCGGTTGTCAGTCAACTGCTTGCCCAAGGATTGTGCAAAAAAAGGGTTGACACGCAGTGTCACAAGTCTGTTGAACAAGTCAAGTTTGTTGTTTTTTCCTTCACACAAGTTTGCTGGGCACCAAGACAAGACTGCTGGGTAGCTGAGCGTTTGCAAATATCTGGACTCAACTGATGAGGTGCTTCTGCTTCGCTACAGCTGATTGCAGCTGTGCCTGGCGGGGAAAAAGAAGTCTCTGTGTGGAGCATGTTCGGCTTCATGAGCACGGGTGTGCTTCGCAACGAGCCGTGTTTTTCACGGGTTAGGAGCGACCCAGCGACCTTCAGCCCGCCTGCGTCAGCCCGCCTGCGTCAGCCCTGGGTCAGCCCGCCTGCGTCATGTGGTAGAGGCACCGCTTGGCACCTCGCTTGCACATGCCATTTCGAGCTAATCAGGTGATAATAGCTGATCAGCCACTTGCTCGCGCCAGCGTTGGGCGGCTAAAACAGACCTTCTGACCTGCGTCACATTGTGGATCTGCTTGCTGTGGAGCCTCATGCAGCTTGAATGTGTTGCTGACCTGAATAAACCACAGTGACAACTTCCGATTGGTACCCCTACCAGGGTACTTCGAAGAAGCCTGGGCCCCGCTTTGTTGACGCTGCAGCATTGACAACTCCGTTCTCAGCCCAGCATTCTTCAATACTTTGGCTTGATTTGTAGTTCGCTGTGGATCCCATTCTTTGCTGGCGGGTGGCGCAGATCTTGGCAGCTGCGACTTCACCTTGTGGTTCTTAGTATTTGGGGTTCGAACCTGAATCATGGCAGTGCAATCAGAGACTTCCTGGAAATTAGCCAGACGAACCCAGTTGAACCCTTCAGTTCCTCAACAAACCATTTGACATCCAGACGACAGCCAGCTAAAGCCGGCGGGCCAACGCAACAATGCAAGCGGAGGACATGAAAGGAATAGACAACGGCGCAACGCGGTTGAGTTTGGGTAACAGAGGAAATGGAATCTGCAAACAGCATAAACATTCCCAAGCCAGCTAGCTGGACACCTGGTGATGGCAACACCTGTATCCCGACCATGTACAACAGAAGGCCGGATCTGAGCAGGCATACAGGCAGTCTTAATCTAAATGCGGATACGTCTCAGAGGTCCCGTTCAGTTTTGTTTCGTCACAGCGTCGGTTGAAGAAGGTTTCCCGACCATCATTTGCTTTTATTTTGCTGTTTTTTCACTTTTTTTTCACAAAAAACTATTTGATGGTTGGCCATGTATGGCTGCCATCGCCCAACATAAATCTAGATTTAACCGGTCGGTGTCATCATCCACTTCCAAGTCGGACGCCGAGACAAGCGGAAGCAGCCTGAAGGGAGAGGAGACGCAGATGCATGCAGAAACAGCCTCGGGGACCTCCAAGCTGCACTACTCCGCTCCAACTTACTTTCCCGCTTGCGAGTCTGTAGGGTGTGGCACCATTTTTTCAGGGTCCACAGTCGACCTGCTTTGTAGTGTAGAGCTTCCACTTGGCCCTGGTGAGCCCGCAAGTACACGAGAGCATACAAAGCTAAAATCAATTTTTCGGGCAAAACAATGAGCTCGTAGTTTCTGATCACATGCTGGATGAAATCACTGGCTACATGTTGGCCCAAACCCAAGGTGAACGACAAACCCAACCCTTTTTTAATGACCCTTTCACTTTATTAATTTAATCAGTATGTTGCCAGCCAAGGGTGACATTTCTTTTTGTAGCTGCCTTATCTCACTCTCTAAATTGCATTTTTTTGTTGAAGTTACATAGACTTTGTGTCTTAGGCCCGCAGGGTGCATCTTCTGTAATTGTGTAGCATGTGTTCACAGTGGTTTATATTTTCACTGAGTGAATGTGCCTCCGTGAGATTCACTTTACATTCTGAGGCTGAAGGGTATACCTTGGAGGAAACATATGTTCTAAAATTGAATCTGTTTGAAGTTGCCTTCGTGAGGCATGCCCCACCTCCTCCCGCCTGAGGCCCTTTGCATGGACACAACAGCGATCGGAACCCACATCAGCTTCATTTGTGGCACGGACACGGACACATGTCAAATTCAAATGCGCACAATGCAAGATTAAACAATGAATTGCCATCGGACGCCGATAGAGGTGGACAATGTACAACTTGTTTCACGTGACGTGGTTCCGCATTTGCAACAACAATTCAACATCAATGCACGCCATTATTATCCTTGGCAAAAGCATGCAATGATCGTGTCAAAAATGGTGTCGGCTTATGCGCTTTAGAAACTGCCTACAGGACAAACACGCGACTTTTGTGAAACGCTTCGCCTTGAATGGAGTTGTCGCTATGGGACATGCGTTTTCACAAGACCATGTTCGCTTTTTCACCTGTGTCGTTCAACTCCTCGGCGAAAGTGAGCGCATTCTCGTGTTTTTTTGTCAGTTTTTCTGTGCTGTTTGATGTCGATGTCCACAAATCAAAACGGAACAAGGTCAGTGGCCCCTTCCCTTTGCAACCTCAGTGCCTTCTTCACATGGTCCGCCCTCATCGCCACGTGATCACACAATGCCACCCCCCGGTCCTGCTGGAAGCTTCCAACCCATGGCATCCCTGAGCACGTCGCTACCAACCACCTCTTCGTCCCGCTGCTCTTTGCGGTTGCAGGCTGCCTTGCCTTAGCTGCACTTCAGCAGCCACTTTAGGACACCCTTGAAAGGGACTTCTCAGCCACACCAAGTGTGGCAACACCTGCAGCAGACCTTGTCCTTCCAGGCAGCCGCCACAGCCCACAGCGCGCGTCCCCTGCCCGCTTTGGCAGCTCTGGGCTTGGAACTCACAACTTTGTGGTGCAAATGGAGTGCGGGAAGTAGCTTCTGGGAGCTTTGGGTTCAGAACTGGGAACTTGTATAGTACAATCATGGTGTGGGAAGTGGTCTTTGGTGGGTGTGAGCTCAGAACTGGCAACTTTGCAGTGCAAATGTAGTGGGATGTCACCGTGCCATGCAGTTTTGCGCGGTCCCTATGGAAAGTGTATATTTCCTGCGTAGCCACTGTATGATCTCACCGGCATTCGCGCAGACATCTAAAGAGGGTCATGTCGGGCGGTTGCCACCCACAGAATCGGTACCGCTCCACCACAAACGGTAGCCTCAGGCTACCCGAGTTCTTGTTGCTTCAGCAAGAATGCATTGTGACCAGGAATTGGGGATTTGCCTAAAGTTTGGTCCTGTAAGGAAGGATGCTTCATCATAGGGTGCGCCTCATCGGTATCCGATGTGCTGAGCACCGGGTCACAAGAACATTGGGTTTTTGGAGGGCCTTTGGGCCCTGCCTGCTACCCTTCGTGCACCCCCTCCTTTCTCAAGTCTGGATTATGCTCCATGCCCGGGTACGGCGCCACGACGTCCACCATGGTACCACCGAAAGGGAATTGAGGAAATTGGACGGGCATGGAGATGGACGGGGTCACATCCTGCGTGACAACGCGCCTCCGTGCTGATGCCCCGCTCAAAGAATGCAGCTTGTGCGCTGCAGGCACTGTCGCAGACAAACTGAAGATTGCGTCTGTGATGCTGGCGTGCCATGCGGTTTGAGAAACCTTGGTCGGATGCCCTGGGGGAACCAGACGCATGCTTGTGCAAACACGGAAAGGTCAGTGAGCAGGATGACTTGGTGGGCTTGCGAGCGAGCGTCATTAAAGAACAATTGCCCAATCTTCATTATCATCACCTTCATCATCAGCCGATTGTTAGGTCGTCCTTCGGTGGGCCTCTTTTGGCCGCTTTAGCCGCTAGCAGCGCCATCATCATCAGCATCACCATTTCCATCGCCCTTGTCATTGCCATTGTTGTTGTGGTTGTCGTCGTCGTTGTCGCCATCATCGTCACCGTCATCATCATCATCATCATCATCATCATCATCATCACCATCGTCATCATTATCAACACTGTCATTGCCATCGCAATTGCCATTCCCATGTGTCATGACCGCAGTTGTTGAGATCCGGCGTTGACTTGCTGTGGTTTTTCGGCTTGCAACGTTCGTTTCACCTCTGTGGCCCGTATATGTCTTTCATACCCCTAACTTAACCACTGGCAGCCCGGGTGTTCTCAGGAGACTGAGAATTGGCCCACGCATGCGGCAGCAAGAAACAGCAGGCGACAAACAAGATGGTACCCTGACATGCTGCTGTGTACGCTGACTGGCTGCTGCGCCGAGAAGCTGTTGACTTTCATACGCCAAGCTTCGCTCTCCACTGGCCCAGTGCGCAATGAATGCCACCGCGCCCCTGTCTAGCACGCCGTCGCCCCCAAGCAGTGTTGTTGTTTGCAACAGAACAGGGAACCCCCTGTGCCGAGACGTATCTGTCAACGCGGTTCTTTACAGGATGTTCTTGACCATCAACTTCAATTCTTGTACAAGAACAAGCATGTGCAGCCGAGCGATGCGGCAGATAACGCGGGTGAACCAGGTGAAACGAGGAAGTTGAAGCAGCCACACCGAAGTCTAGACCGTGCAACGGCAAAATCCAAAGCGGGCCCCGGGCTGTATGCCAGTGTGTGGTCGGTGTGGTGACACGCCGCCGGTCAGCGACCTCCCTTGCTCGGTCCCCCCGACACCGCCTGCCGCGCGCGAAGCGAAGGAGGTGGATAGAGGCATGCCCCGTAACCATGGGGCGTGCTTCACGCAAGTATTCCAGGGATCCTGGGTCATTGCCTTAATGCGTTTCCTTGGTCCATTTTATAGACGGGGTTGTGGACAAGAAAAGGGTTGGCGACCAGGAATTGCATTATATAGTGGAAAACCTGGCATGGTGAAAACACAAAGAAATTCACACTGGCCCGGGTCTAATTAATATTTTTCTCAACTCAACCCCCTGAAAGTTGACCCTTGGAACCCCTCTCCCCGTGTCAAGTCCTTACGTGTCTCCCCCTGCGTCTTGCTTAGTCTTGCTGACGTCCTTTCTGCCATTGATTCACTGATGTTGGAACGCAGCTTTGCAGAGAAGGGGGCTGGCTGGATGTTAAGAACGCATGATCTGGAATGCAATTTCCAACAGCATCGCGCGTCCCATTCAGCCCGATGAATGCTAGATGAAAAATCCTTTCCAGTGTGCTCAGCTTCACCATGCTCATCGTAAACCAGTCACGGATAAAAAGATATAAAAATATATAAATACTCCCACTTGAAGAGGGTCAACGCTGGCTCGGGTGCATGCTAACTGCCCAAGGTTCTGCCGGCCAGGATGCAGACCTTACATATCA